CACCCAACAATCATGGCAACAATAGCCAAGAGTGGAACACGTGCCAAATTAAAGGCCTCGGACCAAAGTATTATACCGAGGTGCGCGAGCGTCTGGTCCCCGTTTAAAACGTCTCTGATGCGCCGGGGGTGTGGCTGGGAATCAGCCTTGAAAAAAAGCCACCGAAAGAGGAGAAAAACGGCCGCGCGCGCGGTGCACAGAGGGACAAAGCGTATCATCCCTCTTTCTCTCCCTGCGAACGATGCTGCGACCGACCAGCCGTCTCGAGCCGTGGACACGCTCGCTCGTCGCCCCTTTGCCAGCACAGTTTTTACGTGTCTCGACCAATTTGTACGTGCGGTCGATCCTGAAAGGGACCGAGGGGGGGCTCCGTAATCCGCGAATTGAATTTCGACGAGAGGGTTCCAGGGGATTTAAGCCGAAGTGGATAGCTTTTTTGTCTCGCCGCTTTCCTACGATGGTCGTGTAGTGTTACGTCTTTCTGCGACAGTGGCTACTGCGTTTCGTAGGATTTCTGGGCTAGCGGATGCTCTTTCGTAACGTGATCGTGGTTTTCGTCTGTGCGAACGTCGAAGTCGAGGAAGAATTTTGGAGACCCAGTGGGAGTTGAATTATTCGCGATTTGTGGCTGTCGAGCCGGGATTCTAGGCGCGTTTCGTTGATGTAAAACATCGTTGAAGCAGATTTTTCTATTATATGCATCTACAGTCTTCGTAGTTATTTATGTTCTCGCAGACTATCTTATCGGTGCTTCATAGATTATGACATTCTTTGGGGTTTTCCCCCATCTTGCGCTACCTTCTCCCTCTCTTTCTCATTAACTTTTGTACGCGAAATAAAAGTGCCCTCCTCTATATACACTGCCGGCCAAAAGTTTCGAATCACCTCCCACTTTTCGTCAATATTAAATCTGCTGCTAATTTTTTATAGACCTGAAGTTTATCTCAATTCTACGTTTATCAATTTATCTCGTATCAATTGATTCGAATGATAAAAAATTCTCAAAGTCACTGACCTTTTTCTGGAAATTTTTGTGTAAATTGTAATGCTCGATGATTCCAAACCTTTGGCCGGTAGTGTAAGTAGTTGGGTATGGAAGCCTTGATCCCACGTAAATTTTTCATTTTAATACCCTCTCCGAATGTTTTATCGACTACCAAAGACCATGCAGGTTTATAATCTTATGAAACATCAGTCAATTATTTTGGCGTGTCGCAGATTATATTCTTTGGTGTTTTTCTTGCTCTTGTGCTATCAACATTCACGCGTAAAATAAAAACGAGTCTTGACATTATAAAAAACGTCTCTTCTTGAGACTGTACGCACTGCACCAACCCTTCTTTGTCCTCCTCCATGTTCCACTAGTCAGCTCCGGATCCCACAGAAATTCGTCACTGCAACACAAACCTTCTCCGCGAGAAGCAGCCAATTACTTCGAAGTGGCTATTGTCACAACGAAAGGGTTAAACGCAACACGAACGATTGGAAACTATGCGGCGGAAAGCCCACATAGGCCCGAGGAAACTGTGTGACAGTTTCATCGGCGGGTGTTTAACGCGGAGAGGTATCCCGTTGAATACCTTCATGGCGCGTGGCAAGCTGCCAGCCTGCACCATTTTTGCGGCGGATTATCGGCCACGCCGACCTGCTTCCAGGCGATAACCGAACGCCCGTTAATGCGTTCACCACTCTCGTCCGTAGAGGGTTTCTTCTACCTACAGGGCAACATGGCGATCGTTAACAACCTGCACAGTCTCTCCGGCAGATACGCGGAAAGCAAAAAACCTCTCTCCCGCAAGAGGGACGGGGAGAGAAGGAGAAGAAGAGGAGAGAGGAACTCGGTCGTTCTGGACGTTCGTTAAATTTCGTCTTCGTTAGTGGGAGAACTCGTTCCAGATTGTCGGGGCCCGTGTAAATACGCTGGATCCACACTGTGGCGCCCATGCTTGGGGAGTCGCAACGTCTTTCCATCCGTAGAGAGAAGAATTTCCCGGAGGAGGTCCTAGCTGGTAGGATGGAACGGGAGGGAGGCCTCTTTTTTACTCCAACAGAAGCAAGGGGGAAAGAGCACGGAAGAAGAAAGGCAAATGTTTATCTTGCTGGGACATTTAACGATGCACCTAAATCCCCTACTACTCCTCTGGATCCTGATGGAGAAGCAGGTGCTTTTCACTGCCAATTTCTAGCAATTCCTGATATAAATTCCGGATCGTAATTTCACCGCAGATCGAAGACAACAAAGGAACAATTAGTTGCCGAAGAGAGACACTTGGAATCGGTAGACAGAACTTCTCCACCGGTTTGTAAATCATTCAGTTTGATAAATAGCCAGAAATTCACCGGTGGTCCCGCTAAATCCTCTCGTCGAAACCACTCGCTCTATCCTCCTTCTCGTCTCCTCTTTTCTTCTTTTCTTCTCCTTTCTCCTCCTCCTCTTCTCGGCTCCTCACCACTTTATCATCCCGGAGCAGCGTTGAACCACGTCGTTCATCGGACCTTGAGAGAATATGAAGGGAGGCGCAACGCGAAAAAAGGAATCTTTTGCAATTACACGTAGACAAAAATGGAACAGGCCAACGATGCTCCCGCTCTAATTAGCGACGCGGTAATTGCTCCGGTAAGGTCTTAAGAAGCCGTACAATCGCGAAACGTGCCGAGAGTCTCGTCGATTAAGCGCGGATGGGAAAGTTGCTTCGAAGCAGAGCAAGAAATGAAAAGGAGACGAGGAGAAGAAAAGAAAGGAACCGGTCGAAAGACAATATTATCTTCTGGGACCGTGGCTCTTCCTCGGGCGGAGTTCGGCACGCTTGACTCGCGGCGAAGCTTCGCCGATCGGGTGGAACACGCGGCGGTAATTTATCTTGCGCTGTGTGTTACCCAATGAAACGATTGCGTAATTTTTTTCTCTCTGTCCCTCGAATATCAAGAAATACGCCGCCGTACAGAAGATCGTAAGCTACGTCTTTGGAGTGAAAGTCGGCCTCGCCTGCCTGCCCCGCAGCCTCTCTTTTTTTTCTTTCCTTCGCTTCCAACAGATCGCTCCGAGAGACACTCGCAACCCTTGTCTCTCCGCTCACGGTGCCTTCGACGAGAGATAGTCGACGAACGCGTCGCTCTAGGATTAGGG